TGCTGAGAAAAAACAACGACATGATCGACACATCTTGGTCACTGCAAAAGTCTGCAAACTTGGTGAATTAGCTTGTATCGTAATACGTGTGGCGTGTGGCTGCTAATCCTAGAGATTAGCATTGTAATGGTCAAAAGGCGCTGTACCCGACTTCTTTACCACTTCTTAATGCAAATGCGTCTGTCTATTCTAGAGAAAAGAAAAAGACTGCAATAATGAATGGTCAAATGTCCAGGCAAAAAAAAGTGTGGTCAAATGCAAAACACATAAGTTCTCTCTGTTAAACTGCAATCTCAAGTTTGAGTACAGATTATTCCTATGCAAAGTTTTCTTCATTACAACTTACAAGGCATGTACTGCTTAAATATGAGAGTTTGCATACACATTTCAGAAGAAAATATACGGCACCAAGCAATAAAATTCCTTCCAGAGCGAGACTCGTCGACATGAAATAGCAGAAAACGACATCCACATGAGCTGAATTCAGTTGATATCATTTACCATGGGATATTATTAACCATGTCGCAAATACCACCACAAGGGTTGCAAAACATTTTTGCCAATATGATCCTGACTCTAAAGTAACACCGGTGTCATTCCACATTCATATCCACATCCAGATCACTGATATACCATCACTCAAAATTATTAATATTACATTATTCTCAAAAAATTACATTACTATTTACATTTTGTTGCTTGCTTTATCCAATGTATCCAGCTTCATAATCATTACTCTATGCAAACAAGATCAGTCTCATGCTCATGACCTATTTGGATCGAAACCAGTCCGCTGATTTTCTCTAAAACAGATAAAGAAGTTGGAGCATTCTTCATTACATGTATTAAGTAGAAAGAAACACTAGTCATTGCCAAATACTCCCTCTGTCTATTTATACAAGGCCACTTGCAACAGGGCATTGTTTTCTCTGAAGTACATTGCTGGATGTCTGGTAAACACTAAACCTGTGGAATTTGTCTGAAATAATAGCAGCTGCAGGAGATGATTACCACCACAGAAACCCTCCATTTTAATAATTTGGAGGGCTGGGAAACTTGCTGAGTTAAGCAGATGTTCACAAATTATTTTTTGCTCATGGATTTCCAGTGCCTGAATCTTTTGAAAGACCTGCGGCTTGCTAGCATGTCAGAATGGCAAGATGCTGAAGTGAAGGGGAATTTGTGGCTTCAGTTTCCTCTCCCATTGTTCCCAAACACACCATGTTTGTGAACTTCAGTATCTCCAACATAAGAAAGACTCTGTTATGCTGGATCCACGGCCACTGTAGCCAGTATCACCATATCTGTAAAAGAAACATTGATCTCACATTTTCTGCCTGCGAGTGATGGATCAAAAGATGTTCAAGACAAAGCAATTGACGAAGAAAGTCGGTTCATTACAATTCTCACAAGCATTCAACAGTAAAAAGGAAGCTAAGTATGTAACGATTCCCATGCAATAAGGAAAACCGAGGGCAGAAAGACCAATGATAACTAGTTACTCGTGGTCACTATGATGTTTAAGAATATCTAACATAGCATAGATGCCTCAACAGTCATCAGCATATATGAGTATTTGTCTTTGATCTTATGAGCTTGATTTTCTTTTATCTTTGATCTGGATGCTTCTCAAAGTGGTCGGACCCTTCCCTGGACCCTGCGCAAGCGGGAGCTACATGCACCAGGTTGCCCTTTTGATCTGGATGCTATCTTCTATAAGTATATGCACTCAAGCAATATTCTCAATTCATGAGATGCGTAGGTCACATCTAACCCTCTAAGCTTGACCAAGTCAACAGTTCTGCAACTACCTGAATCACTACCAACCTTGAGCATGCACATTCTTTGGGGATTTGATAATTCCCCAATTCCACATGGCATGCAGAAGTTCAAACTATCCAGGTATAGTTAAAGATGCAATATATCAGCGAGGAACTTCACCCTGTGAGCTGATTCACTAAAACAGTTGGGACATCTGACCTTCATCATATGCAACTTGACTTAGCTCTGGCAGTGGCAGACACTTGATTTTGGTGTTCTCAGGAGTCAAGATGAGGTACATAAGATGTATCTGTTCACCAATAGAGTGTGGCAGGCCCTATGTGTTTCTATTACTCTAACCGGGAGTACCCAAAGACACAAATGACTTGAACAGATTACCGGGCAAGTTTATGCGCTACTATCATTTTCTTCAACCTTTCTATTAAGTAAAATAAATTTGTCATCATGTTGTAAACAACCAACAAGGTCCACAGGCAAGAGAGATTTGATTCTTTACTATTGGTTTTGGGATGCACGAAGTACAGGTTCACTGTAATGAGCCTCCTTTGGAGCTAATGATACGTATCAAAGATCTTCATCTACCTTGCACAGCATTGTAATTTCCTCTAGTCTAGCATACTCCTTGGTTGACACATATTCCACAAGCGATCATGCATGGCATAGTTGTCGTAGGAAGAAGTGCTAGGGTACCCTCTGAAGATTCTTAAAACAGCGTAAACCCTTAAAACAGGAATATCATTAGAGAATGTCCTCATTACCAAACATTAAAACATCATAACACCCACAAAGAGCATGATTAGCATTGATTGTCATTACCAAACATTAGACAAATTAAACAGTAGAAACATATAAATTGAATAAAATATGGTTAGACGGTGCTGTCATAACCTAACATGAAGACAGGAAAGCATGAATTAGTAAAGCTACATAGGGAGATGCGTATGGCTAAGATAAGTAAATGTTGAGGCCATTCAGTTATAACCATATGGTGTGAACCTATGTAGCAGCAATAAAAATGCCAACTAATTCACTGGGTTGAAGAATGGATAGAACCAACATATGGAATATTATCAAAATGTGTCAATTCAGTGGTGCTCATAATTACTACTCCCTCCGTCCCAAAATTCTTGTCTTAGATTTGTCTAGATACGGATGTACCTAATACTAAAACGTGACTTGATACATCCGTATTTAGACAAATCTAAGACAAGAATTTTGGGACGGAGGGAGTATCAGTGAGGACACAATATTAAATTCAAGGTCGGCCGCCTCGCGTTTTAGAACTATCTTGTATGTTTTTGTGGCACACCTCATGAACGCAAGGCGACCGGCCTTGTTCATGAGGTGCGCCTTCCAAGTAAAATAAATTTATCATCGTGTTTTAGAACTATCTTGTATGTTTTTGTGGCACACCTCATGAACGCAAGGCGACCGGCCTTGTTCATGAGGTGCGCCTTCCAAGTAAAATAAATTTATCATCGTGTTTTAGAACTATCTTGTATGTTTTTGTGTCTACTGTAGATCGCATAATGTGTACTGCCCATGTGCCCGAACATGAATCAGAAACATGGCATGCTTCCAAAACTGCAGAACCTCTTATCAACTAGAAGACCTTATATTCAAAAGCAGTGAAAATTAATGGCCCACCATTAGAATAGTATATCTTGATGATTTTTATGTAGAAACAGTATTCTGAGTAATAGTCAATTTAAACCAACTATCATCAGATGCTGGTCAAAGCTTCTCATGTGTGTGCCATCTATTTCAATATTCTGTTTGGTTGGTTTCTTGGCAGAAATGTTTAGCATCCCCATGGGATAGGTTCAATCAATATACACATAGTTCAGCTTAATCAATATATCAATAATGATTTATCCTCAGGAAGATATCCAGTGCCCAGTGGAAACCACCCTCTCCATGAAAACTCCGCTGTTTATAAGTAATAACCTCATCATACATGCACATTTTAGAAGTTTTTAGTACTTGTACACATGATTTTGAGAGTTTTCATGAGAAGGTGGTTTTCACCAGATATTTATAAAGCTTTTATCCATAGGATGATTGGGATAAGCCCTTGCAGAAATAAATAGTAACCTAACAATACCTTTCCGCAAGATGGCCACCTCTGAAAACTCTTGACAACGCCATCAGAGTAGATGAAAGCAATATCTTCAGCACCATCTTGTGCCTTGTAGTCTTACGCACACCATCTGGCCCAACTATGCAGTTAGTTCATCTCAGGTCCTCCAGCGAGCTACAAGACGTCAAACTGTGGCAGGCCCAGACCCACATCTCATTTCAGGCTCGGAGCTGGCGTTCCTCTGATCCTATCATTGTATAAGTTCTGAACTAGAGTCATAGTCTTGCCCGCACGATGACATGTACAACGGAATCGGCACTGTAGCCGCTGGCTTCTTCAGAGCATAGCAAGATATAATCACCTGCCTGCTTGGCTCTTGTCTCTCCCCCTTCCATGAAGCCGTCATTTCGTCAAACAGCTGGTCTGCGCCAACGGGCTGACCACCTGACGCCTCTTCCCGTTGCTACTTCAGAGTGACAGAGCCGCAGCCCGCCGCAACGCTCAATGCCTTGCAAGCTCGCCGTCGAGGCGATGGGGGGAAGGAGGGGAGCAGCGAGCTGACCATGCGCTTCGACTTGCCGGCGCCGGTGACTGCGAGCTGACCATGCGCGAGCGGTGTGCCTGGCAAGTGGCAAGTGGCAACGGCTTGAGGACGATTTGTTTTGGGTGTAATTACCGGACTGACCCTGTCTCTGCCCGTGTGCCGTGGTACACCAGCCAAGGGAAAAAGATACTCCCACAGAAGACAAGCGTATTTCGGTTTCCTCGATTGCCCCCAATCCGTGGCTGCGCGTCCGCCGGTGGCCGGGGGTTCTAATCCGAGCGATTCCCAATCCCAACCGCCGCTGGAAGACCCCGCAGCTCCACGACAGCGCGGGCAGACATGGCGCCCGTACTACCTGCGCCGGCGGCGGCGGCGGCTCCTCCCACCTTCTGCCGCGTCTCTCTCCCGGCCCGCAGCGCCTTCCCCTCCTCCCCCGCCAAAAGCCTTCGCAGGTTTGCGGCCAGGAGCAGCGGCGGCGGCGGCCGTCCCGAGCCCAAAGCAGGTACATCCACCTCCTCCTGATGCGCCCGCCGTCCTTTGGATAGTTCGAGAGGGGCATTTCGGGCTGGGTCGCTTACTCCATCCCCCGTTGTTCTGCTGCTCATGTGCCAGGTGATGACGAGAGCAAGGCCGTCCTTGACGCCTTCTTCCTCGGGAAGGCCTTGGCGGAGGCGCTGACGGAGAGGGCCGAGTCGGTGGTGGGCGAGGTATTCAGCGTCGTCGGGCAGTGGCAGGCGGAGCAGCAGAAGCAGGTCCAGGAATTCCAGGTACTGCACAGCCGCGGCCCTTGCTTTGCTCCCCATGGTTAGTATACTAGTGTTTAGCTTTACCTTCAACCTGGCTACTGGACAACCAGATATGTTCCTAGGCCAGCTGATGGCAGATAGGCCTGTGAATTCTCAGTGCCAACTTAGTAAGTTCTTGTACATTCAGATGTCACACAACTAAAAACTAAATGATGTTATTCTTCTACATCCAGAAGTGCACACGCTTTAGCTTTTTGAGGTCACATAATCTAACTGCTTTCCATGATTAATCATCATTGTTGATCGATTCATAGTTTATAGCTACAATTTATTGTGGACATACTTTTAATTTTCTTCTCTTAACCTCAAAGAACTGCACTCACTTCTAAATTGCATTTTGGGGGATAATTGTAACTACAGGAGGAAGTAGTTCAGAGAGCCCAAAAGGCTAAGGAAAGAGCTGCTGAGGAGGTCGTTGATGATAAGGGACCAAAGACTCTAAAGGGACCTTCAACAACAATCGTGACGCCTGCACCTATGTCTCCTCCTTCTCCTAATATTCCCACACAGGCAGAACAGTTATAAGCGGCGATGAAGAGTTAGTGCTGCATGTAGACTCACTTTTGTGCTCCAAGAAAGTGATGAAATTCTCCTATGAGATATGTATTGATCAAGTTGTCCTTTCTTTGATAGTGAATATCCAGAATATCAACTAGAAAAATCTATGGTACAAGTTCCGAGATGAGTGGAATAAAAATCTGTTAGTTTGCTACAGATTCTGAAAATAATAATTTTATTGCCTGTATGATGTCGTTCTATATAATAATATGTTCTCAGGAAACAGCTTCAAAGAACCGTTACAACCAGAAACAATAGTTATCTTAATTTACATTTTTCTTTCTTGAGAAAACTTCACAAAGGACATGTGAAAGGGTGACTGTAGCAGTAGAACTCCAAACTTGGACTCCTACTCCCTTTTACTGGTGGCCTTTGCATCTGGTTCTTGGTGTCTTTATTCTGTCAAATAAACTGCTATTCAGTTCCCAGAGAAATTATGTGTGCACTGTGGCTAACTGAATATTCTCTTCGAGAGAAGTACTAGCTGGATTATGTATGCAACACATTTGTGACATGTGCTTTCCGTGATTTCAAGAATTTGTGTTGTGTCATAATGCTTTAGTCCATTATGAATAGTTAAATACGTACATAGAATGCAGGTCTTCAAGGGAAGAGCAGAACTGCAGACTATCGCAGATTATGTTGGGCGTTCTTGCCTAAAATGCAATATATTCCAACTGATGCACTGAACTTGCCAAAATCATTGTGAAGATAGACAACAGGTAATTATGCAACTAAAGTATTCTTATTATTTTTTTACGTACTATCATTAAATTGTAACTATTTTTCTTATACTCCTTCCGTTCCTAAATATAAGTCTTTTTAGAGATTCCAATATGGACTACATACGGAGGGATCTCTAAAAAGACTTATACTCCCTCCGTTCCAAATTACTCGTCGTGGTTTTAGTTCAAATTTGAACTAAAACCACGACGAGTAATTTGGAACGGAGGGAGTACATTGCATACCTGCAGAACCGCGGATGAGAATGATGTTGCAACTTCTAGTTTGCTTTGTTGATTCTTTTTTAGATGCTTATGTGATGAATTGTTGGAGTTAGAGCATAGGTATACAGCGTTGTTAGGAATTTGCAAAGTAAATTTTTATATGAATTTTCTCTAGAGTAGAACACACCATTGGTCGTGCAGTTTAGTCACACAAGTTGCAGAATATTTTAAACTGGTTAAATACTTCTGATAATAAAATGTTGCAGTTTAGGGTGCTTTATGCCAAACTCTGTTAGATACTCTCTATCTGATTGGGCAAAGGCTGCGCTATGCATGGTTTATTTATAAACATAAATATCTCTACATTCTTACGATAACAACCTTAATATTGACCATTTGTTCACACGCATAAAGATGTCTTGCAACTCACGACCTTGCATAGTATTCAGGCACGGGAAATAAGGTACGCCTTTACATGATATTCCTGACACATATGGATGGTACAAGCATAACCAACCAATCCCCCCCTTGAGCAACTGTGAACTGGCTCAGTGGCTAGGGGAGGTTTTAACACCCAATACGTTGTGGGTTCGAATCCTAACTTGCTCATTTGTTTCGCAACTTCTTAGTATCCAGGATTACAAATCGTGAGCTGAATATGTGAAATGTCATTCATATATTTAGATGATATTGACGCGCGGGCAGAACCATCAGTGGCTCAGGAAGTATAGTACTGCTGCAGCTGGGATCCATTTTGAAACTCTCTCGACACAAGTGAACCTTTGAGGAACTCCCTGAACCATTCAGCTGATAATTTCGGCGTCCTCTTCTGCGTCTTAAAGTCGACATGGTAGAGCCCGAATCTGTCCTTGTATCCTGAAGTCCACTCGAAGTCGTCAAGGATAGACCACACAAAGTAACCACGTACGTCAGCTCCTTTCCTTCAAACATTTCAACAAGGTTGGTTGGTATTCAGAGACTGATGCAATAGTAGCCATAATCATAATTTGTAGATAACATAAGAGCATATCATCAGCTAACATTTCAACAAGGTTGGTTGGTATTCAGAGACTGATGCAATAGTAGCCATAATCATAATTTGTAGATAACATAAGAGCATATCATCAGCTAAGGTCTACCATATGGTAGGGTCAGCCCTGCATTGTATCGAATTCCCTTTTGCGTTCTCAAGAAATGGTTAAACGACCACAGAACATGCCGGGAACCCATATAATATTCTAGTGCAAACAGTTGGAAACCAGATCTATGCATGAAGTGTCCACAGCATATGTTACCTTATTGCCGAGACTAAATAAGTGAGGTAGCCACTGATGTAATCAATTCTTTCTGTGTCACCGGTAAAATCCTTAGCAGTCATGCTGCTATTGCTTGCTTGAGCATAACCTGAAAATGTGAATTAGCCTCTACATATTGTTACACACATTATTCTCTGTAACAGAACAATAATAGACAGACTAGTGATGCTCTTTTTTTTAAAAGGAAAACCGTAGGGGAGGCCCGACAGTCCATGATATGTACAAGCAGGTGTGGAGTTAACAAAAACCAGCATAAGACCGACAAGGGATGGTCACAAATGATGGGCTCTTAGCCTCTAAGAGAAACACATAGCTTACTTTGGTGTGACTACTATATGATTCAAAATCTCTGAGTTTTTTCAGAACACACATCTATTGCACGTCACGTTGTATTAGAGAAAAAGAACACCAAGAGGCAAGAGGTACAGCTGTCAAACAACCTAACCCAGATATGACACAAGAATTATACCATAAGAAACATAATCGTTGGTTGACTGTTATTCATGCATATAAGCCACAAGCAGGCCAGTCTCTACTAACACTAGCTCTGATATCATTAGATGTAATTCTGGAGGGCCAGACGAAAAAACGATTTGTTTCCGAATGAGATAAAGTGCTCCGATTGTTTATGAACATGTAGACATGTGCCAAATAGGCAGTGTCCTACTCAGACGACGCTCGTCAAAAGTGTATAACAAGTTCAAATACTAATTATTTAAGCTTCAGAATATAGAAAAGACAGAGAGTCACACCGTTTTCTGTAATATATGTTGGGGTGTTGTTGTATCTTTGTTTGTAATACATGACCGCCTTTTCCATCCCATGTGGAACATCATAGAAGAATGGTGCTCCTGTCTGCATGAGTGAGACAGCAATCACTATTTGTTATTGTTCTTTTATTAATGACTTAACATGAATCAGTATTTAGCAATCTCGTGTTTACCTCTTTACCGATAGGCACCCCATCTCGTTCTACTAAACTTAACACTCGCGCATCCCCATCCATAGGATCCATTTCACATGGTGAAAAGATGCAGTCCTTCACATACCATGTCGAATAATGATTTAGTCCAATAAAATCCAGTTTGGTTGCATGTAGTTTCTTCTTCTGCTTTAATGTGAACTCAGGTAGGGTTGGACCCAAGATTTTGCGCATCTCTGCAGGATAATCACCAAGAATTATAGGGTCCAGAAACCTATCAAAAACAAACAAAACAGGTAAAGTAAGAAGGTAGTAATTGAAGATCATATTTATTTTGTTCCAAGAAATAATTGAAAAATAAATCTTTCAAAGTTCTGTTACAGAAAAGAGAGTCAGTTTCTCTGCCTCCGTGTAGTGAAACAAAAAATCATGGTGTTGCTGTGAATTATATCAGCCTGTTAGCCTGTTTGTTTGTATTAGACACATTTATTATCTTGTTTAAGAACACACTTGTTCTGAATTTATGAGGAAACAAAATGCTAATTATCCTGCAGCTATCATCTTATTGGATAGTATAGTATAGTACCTATTCACAAAAAAGAAGAAGGATGGTATAGTACCATGGAACATTGAAAGATATAGCCCGTTCAACTGCTAGTTGGTCGATTGTGGTATTTCGCAATGGTTCATACCATCTTGCGCTGACAGCAATTCCAATATATCCACCTTGTCTCTCCTATTAAGTGGCATAGATATTAAACCATACTAAAAATCCTCAGTTGATGGTGTTATATTATTAACTTCTATGGGAAAAAACACACGAGGTGATGGTGTACTCGTATCCAAGAAGGATCTAATTTGTACCTGATAGTTATTTCTGTAAATGCTCACAACGTTTGCGTGTGAAAGTATCATATTGTGACCTGCTATGTATGGCTCTATTGAAGAATTTCCAAAGGCACAATTCCCAAACGGCTCCGAACAATGACCAGGAGGGAACCATCCATTCAAATAAGAAAATTTTGCCAATAAGTTAGGCTGATTCATTGTAAGCCAGAATTTCACTCGATCGCCAAACAACCTGAAGCATATGTTTGCAAAGTAACCAAAGTCCTTCCTGAAAAGCACTTGGAAGTATGATAATTTAAGTTTTTCTTTTTTAATTCAGAGAAGTAAAACAAACTGAGGGGCACAGACATAGACATACTGGATTTCTGGACTCAACCATCCACCATATCGCTCTTCAAGCTCATGTGGAATGTCGTAATGAAATATCGTAACAAATGGTTGTATGCCTGGTTATGCATGCCATTAACAAATGCATATTAGAACCTTAAAAAAATTCTCCCGATGCCTGGAATTTTCTGTTAAATACCTTTGTGCAGAAGAGCATTGATGATGGCATTGTAGAATGCTACACCATCTGGATTTACATGTCCAAATCGGCCTCCTGCAGCAACAAACAATTTCTGGGACAGTCTATATATAACTTTAACAAATAGCATAATCCCTAAGAAAAGCAAATTACATTGAAGTCAAACTCACTTGGTAGAATTCGTGCCCATGCTATGGAGAATCTATATGAGTTCACTCCCAAGGAATGCATCAACTCGATGTCTTCCTGAAGTAGGGAAAAAAGTTATTCGTTAGTCTGCACAAGATGAATTGGAATAGAGATGCATCGAACAGTATCAACAGTATGCTTTAGCAGAAAACATACCATGTAACGATGGTAGTGATCAGCAGCAATATCACCATTGCTTCCATCCTCAATTGTGCCTGAACCACGGGATAAGCAAGAAAGGAAGAAAGACAGGTAAGAAGACATATAAAGAAATCAAGTTATTACAAGATAAAAGTGAACTATGTCTAGATTGAAACTGTGCAGTAATATGAATTCTGAATCTTCACCTTGCTTGTGGGTGTAGACATCCCAATTACTTAGGCTTTTCTTACCCTCCAAATATCCACCTTCAATCTGATGTTTGGAAACAACATGCTATCAGCAAACACTTGAGGTTGCCTAAAAGAGGCCGGTGTATTATGTAACTAGATAGCTCACATTACGAATTATAAATAAAAATTTAAAATGCACCAAAAGTCCAAAAGAGTGTACAAATTTCCCAGGCCTTTCCCAGCAATCAGAACAGAAGATTTTTCGTTTCTCACATCAAAAAATTGGTATCCCTTGACAATTGAGGGCGTTATTCATATCAGATTTGTTGATGTTCACCAGAGAGCCTGATAACGCGAACATTAGGTGTGCATTCCCGCTAAAAAGTTTTTTGCAGGGAAGTGATCATTCTCGCTAATTTTACAACCACTTCCAACAATCCATCAATGGACGACCTTGCACCGCATTTTCACGGGGAAGACGATAATCTTCTGGCTCTCGAAAACTTGGAAATCTAGATAAACTATGCTCCAAATTTTGAAGAAATAAAGTAAATCACTCAATTTGAAGGCCTCCGCTTTAGCAGATGCTTGCTCCCTCCTCCAATGCGCCTACCTCGTCGGTAGAGCAGGGCAGCCTCCTCCTCGTCCTAGCGGTGATGGCTTTTCCTATTCCGCGCATAGGGTGTTGCTGGTCAAGCAAACGCGCACTCCGGTGTTGATGGCTTTTCATAATTTGTAAACATTTTTAAAAATCCGGGAACACTTCTCAAATTCATAATGTTTTAAAAATTTAATGTTTTTTTAAATCCATAAACTATCCTTGATTTTTTTAAATGGTGAATGTTTTTGAAATTCAGAAAAAATTCCAAAAACATGAATAATCTTCTAAATTTTAGAATCTGTGAATATTTTCCGAATTAGTGAACATTTTTAGAGGGGAAAATCAGGCATGGCAAACGGTTTGCTACACTAATGGCTAAGAAAACAGGAAATAAACTATTGTTAGGAAAGATAATGGGTCGAGCAATTAATGGGCGACCCATGGTGGGAGCGCCAAGGTGCACATTTGCTCCCTAGTAATGCCCTATGCACGGACTATGTGCTTCATCATAATGGTATCATGGCCCGCGCTGTCGTCCGCCATGACCGGAGCTCCGCCTCCACAAGCTCCTAGTGGCGCCCACGCCCCCTGCGCGCCCCTGGCCGAGCCACAGCCGCAGCGCCCAGCGCCCGTCTGCATCCGCCTGCTGCTGCTTTGGCCAACGCTGCCTAGCGCCGCTGCAGCCTCTCCGGCTAACTGCTGCTCTTAAAACTGCTCTGCCGATGCTTGCATTTGCTCTCTGTAGCCTGCTGCTTGCTAGCGCTACCGCCGCCGCTGCTAGTCAAGGCCGAAGCCCCGACAGCGCCCCCAACCCCACTCCTCGTGCCGCTGCGCCTCGCCGCGGCCCCGGTTTGCCGCGCCCGGGGCCAACGCCCGCGCTCCCCCTTCTCCTGGGGCTCTACTCGCCGCGGCGCCCGACGGATGCCCGCACCCGGTAGCCCGCCCCAATTGGCCTCTGGGCCAATGACAGTGGGGCCCAGCCCCTTAAAAAATAGAAACAAAAATGTAAATAAAAAAGTATATAATTAATTAATTAGTGAATTAATTAACTTCATTAAAACTAGTTAATTAACATAATCACTTAGGTTAGTTAACAGGACAGGCAGGACTCGCATATCGGTTTGACCAGTCAACGGTCAACGTTGACATCTGACGTCATGATGACGCAATAATAATTTTTTGAATTAGATTAAATCAACAGTAATTCGGATGAAAATACTTTGTACATGAAAGTTGCTCAGAACGACGAGACGAATCCGAATACGTAGTCCCTTTGCCAGCCACCCATCCCTGGCATAGTAAACATGCAATTTTCCCCCTCCGGTCCGTTTGTCCGAAAATGTGAAACACCGGGAATACTTTCCTGAATGTTTCCCCCTTTCGCCGGTAGCACCTAGTACTGCGTTAGGTCATCCCTAGCACCGCGTATTGCCATGTTATATTTTGTGATACTTTGATTGCTGTGTTATTTATTGTGTTTCCCCTTCGTTATTTCTTTCCGGTAGACCCGAGACCGCGGTTGAACCAGTGATCGACTACTTCACCTTCGAGGGTTCATTTCTGTCTGCAGAGCAACCAGGGAAGCCCCCCTGATCACTAGATATCGCCTATTCCTTTCCTCTACTGCTTGCATTAGAGTAGTGTAGCATGTTACTGTTTTCGGTTAATCCTATTCTGTTGCATAGCCTGTCATTGTTGCTACAGTTGTTGATACCTTACCTGCAATCCTAAATGCTTAGTATAGGATGCTAGTTTATCATCAGTGGCCCTACATTCTTGTCCATCTGCCATGCTATACTATCGGGCTATGATCACTAGGGAGGTGATCATGGGTATATACTATATATCTTATACATGATACATGTGGTGACTAAAGACGGGTCGGCTCGTAGAGTACCCGCGAGTGATTCACGGTTGGGGGCTGAAAGGACCTTTGTCTGACGGCCCTCTGGGTGAATCTTTGTGGCGGAGCGACATGGCAGGTTGAGACCGCCTAGGTGAGAGGTGGGCTTGGCCCTGGTCGGCGTCCGCAGATACTTTAAATAACAGTTTTAACGAGATCTTGGTATTTGATCTGAGTCTGGTCACTGGCCTATACGCACTAACCAACTACGCGGGAACAGCTATGGGCACTCGACATCGTGGTATCAGCCGAAGCCTTTTTGACGTCACCGACTGAGCGGCACGCGCCGGATTGGACTGAAACGCCTGCTCTTGTATTAGGGAGGCTAGGTCTGCTTCCGGCCGCGCTCGCAACGTGCAGGTGTGCAATGGGCGATGGGGCCTAGACCCCTGCGCGCATAGGATTTAGACCGGCGTGCTGAACTCTCGGTTGTGCCTAGGTAGGGCTGCGGCGTGTTGATCTTCCGAGGCCGTACATAACCCAGAAAAGTTTGCCCGGCCAGAGGGATCGAACGTGTTGGGTAATGTGGTGCACCCCTGCAGGAAAGTTTATCTATTTGAATAGTTGTGTCCGTCGGTAAAAGAACGACCTGGATTTGTACCCTGACCTTATGACAACTAGAACCGGATATTTAATAAAACACACCCTTTCAAGTGCCAGATACAACCCGGTGATCGCTCTCTAACAGGGCGACGAGTAGAGGATCGCCGGGTAGGGTTATGCTATGCGATGATACTTGGTTAACTTACCATCTACTCTCTTCTACTTCTTTCAAGATGGAGGTTGGCGGAAGCGTAGTCTTCGATAGGACTAGCTATCCCCCTCTTATTCTGGCATTCTGCAGTTCAGTCCACAGATACTATCCATTTCATTGATGCCAATGCATATGTAGTATAGATTCTTGCTTGCGAGTACTTTGAATGAGTACTCACGGTTACTTTGCTCCCTCTTTTCCCCATTTCCTTTCCTCTCGGTTGTCGTAACTAGATGCTGGAGCCCAGGAGCCAGACGCCACCGTCGACGACGACTCCTACTACACCGGAGGTGCCTACTACTACGTGCAAGCCGCCGCCGACGACCAGGAGTAGTTTAGGAGGATCTTAGGCAGGAGGCCTGCGCCTCTTTCGATCTGTATCCCAGTTGGTGCTAGCCATCTTATGGCAACTTGTTTAACTTATGTATGTACTCAGATATTGTTGCTTCCACTGACTCGTCTATGACCGAGCACTTGTATTCGAGCCCTCGAGGCCCCTGGCTTATATTATGATGCTTGTATGATTTATTTATTTTTAGAGTTATATTGTGATATCTTTCCGTGAGTTCCTAACCTTGATCGTATACGTTTGCGTATATAATTAGTGTACGATTGAATCGGGAGAGTCACAAGTAAACAACCCAGATCATTAGTTAAGGGGTACTTCTTCTAAAGATCACTTTCACCTTTTTAGACATTGACAAATGGCGTACTACATGTGCGCAACTTGTTGTAATTTGAGAGTTTTTTTCATAAACTCGTTTAAAATGTTTAATATTTTGAACGTACGTCCAAATTCCGAACCATTTTCATGGTTAGATTTATCGCGTCGATCTTCGACGCTAGATCCCATGTTAATAGGTTTCAATGAACTTTTTAAAAAAAAATCGGATGAAATATAACCAGAGCGGCAAGAATGTTTTTTCCTTCATTTTTTTCCTTTCTGAAAAGCACAACTATGCTTCTCGCGGAAGCAAATTCATGCTTCTCGTGAAAATACATATTTTCCCTTTCCGTGAGGCACAACTATGCTTCTCATGGAAGCAAATCTGTGCCTACACGAGGAACAAATCTATGATTCTAATGAAAACAAAAAAAACGCATTTTCTTCCTTTATGAGAGATACAACTTCTTGCGAAAAAAATATGTGTGTCCACGAGAAGCGTATTTGTGCTTCTCATGAACGCAAAAAAACATGCTTTTTACCTTTTGCGAGAGGTACAACTATACTTTTCAAAGAAGCAAATTTGTGCTTCTCTTGAAAGCAAAAAAGCAAGTTTTTTCCATTTTCCAAGAGACATAGTTGTGCTTTCTCGCGGAAGCAAATCTATAGTTCAACGAGAAACAAATATGTGTTTCTTGTGAAAGAAAAATATATTTTTTTAAAGGCATAACTGTGCTTCTTGCGGAATCAAATGTGTGCCTCCATGAGAAGCAAACATATGATTCTCGTGGAAGCAAAAATAAACCGTGTAATTTTTTCTGGAAATGTTAACTGGCGTACGATCAACCAAGAGCCAGGTTCTAGTGAACCCTCTTTCTCCCGTTGGACTTTTGTTGCATGAATCTTAACACATGAGCGAAGACACGTCAAACTTTCTAAAGTGTCCGCTGAGGCACAAAAGCCGAACTATGGCCTTTCCAAAACCTCACCATCAAACCAAACTAGTTATGTTCCCGAGTCTACATCGAGGGGACTTGGGATCGAATACTAGTCTCAGCCTTTCTCATATTAACATGACAGGTTTTATTTTGTTAAGAGGATGTTTTCTCAGTTAGTTACATGGCAGTTTTAGTAAAAAATAAAATAACATGGCAGTTTTTATTTTTACGAAGATGATTTTTCACTTAGGTACATGACAATTTAACTAAAAAATTAACATGACAGTTTTTATAATTTTTTGTACGTGGCATTTTTTATTGTAAGAGGATGGCATTTTTATTATTAATAACATGACGTTTTTATTGTAAGAGGATGTCATTTTTATTATTAATAACATGACATTCTTATTGTAAGAGGATGACATTTTTATTATTGGACTATGGCAGTTTTGTTTATAAGAGGATGGCAGTTTTGTTTATAAGAGGATGGTATTTTTAGTTTTATAATAGGATGACATTTTTTAAAGAGAACGATATTTTTTATTTTGATATGTGGCATTTCTATTATTTTTAAAAGGGCGGCATTTTTAATTTGAGGGGATGGCATTTTTTATTACTGCCAACTTTTCCTGATTTTTGTTCATGGAAATTTCTCATAAAAAACAATTTTAGTGGGCTTTGGGCCAATTGGAGGTCGCCATGGCCATCCAGCTGGCGAATGAGCGAAACATTCGCTCGAGGGCCTCTCCCCTAGCGAATGGAAACGTTCGCTAGAGGATCCCTCTCAGCTGACGTCTCCCTAATATGGGGGTCCTCTTTTTGAATTGTTTTATTTAAAACCTAGGAAAACCAAAAATTTATTTTTTGTTTGAAAAAAACCCATCTAAAATCCAAAAACGCATACAGAAAAATAAAATAAAATTCTGAAGGAGAGCCTAGCACGCGACACGTGGCGGTGGCTGGACACATCACTTTGCGCTTCCGGCCCAATAAAGTGACCCTTGCGGGGTCCCGCATGGTACCCCTTGCTATCCAAACCGGCGGGAGCTCCTAATTGCTGCTTTAAACGCCACCGAGCGAAACCGGCACTCACGCCTTCACTAGCGTGGGCCGGCCCATTTATGCTCTCGTGCGAGCAGGAGCTGCTGCGTTTGATAAAAAACCAAACCTGACTCGTTTGCTCAGTCAACAATCGACCCTGTTGATAGCTGACAGTTGACTTTCAAGAAAAAAAATCACTAAAGTCGAAAAAAGTTCACGAATTAAAAAAATCATGAATATGAAAAAGTTCATGAGTTTGAAAAAAGTTTGCTGATTTCAAGAGAAAAGTTCACGGATTTTGAATAACTCAATGATTTTTAAGAAAGTTCACAGATTTGATAAAATTTCATTGACCTTCAAAACAGGCTCACAATTTTGAAAAAAATGTTCATGAATTTGAAAAATATACACAATTTTGAAAAAAGTTCATCAACTTTGAAAAAAAATTACCGACTTTCAAAGAAAGTTCAGCAATCTTGAAAAAAAAGTTATCGATTTTGAGAAAAAAGTTCATCAATTCTAAAAAAAGATCACAAATTTTCAAAAAGTTCATCAATTTTGAAAAAAGTTAATGAATTTTTAAAAAAATAATCACGAATTTAAGAAGAAAAAAGGGAAGAAAAGAAGAAAACAAAAGAAAGAACAGAAACAGGAAAAGGGGAGAAATTATCACAACAGGTGTTGTGTTCTAGCTGGTTAGTGCAGCTTATCTACGAACAAAAGATCATGAGTTCGAATCACCGTGGCGCGCACGCTTCTCACCGTTTGACAGAGAAAATAAAGTTAAACCGGCTAGCCCACACAAAAGGGGGGAGGGGGCTATGCGTTCGAAATCACTAATTAAAGAGTACTCATCGCAAAGATCACTCCCACATTCTCAAGTTGTGACAAGTGACGCGCCGCATGTGTATCACTTTGTCGTAATCTGAGAGTTTTTCTTTTTTTTCGTACATCTTTTTATTCAAAATGTTTTATCTCTTAAACCGTGCGTCTAAATCTCGAACTGATTTCACTGTTGAGATTTCTAGCCATGCTTATAGGTTTTGACGATTTGTTTTTCACAAGAAAAAGGACAAAAAAACCTAACTGGGAGCACGATTTTTTTCTCTTTCTAAAAGAGGCACGGCCGTGCCTCCCGCGGAAGCAAAAAAAAAATAAACGTGGTTTTTTCGTTTTCGAAAGGCACGGCCATGCCTCTCGCGAAAGCACAACTGTGCCTGTCGCGAAAGCAAAATCATGCCTCTCGCGGAAGCAAAAAAAATGCGTTTTTTTCGTTTCCAAAAGGCACGGTTGTGCCTCTCGCGAAGCAAAACTGTGCCTCTTGCAGAAGAAAAAAAGAAAATGCATTTTCTTTTTTATTTCCGAGAGGCACGGTCGTGCCTCTCGCGAAAGCAAAACAGTGCCTCTCGTGAAAGCAAAACCGTGCCTCTCGTGGAAGAAAAAGAACGTGTTTTTTTTTTGTTTCTGAGAGACACAATCGTGCCTCTCAAAAGCAAAACCGTGCTTCTCGTGAAAGAAAAAAGCACGCATTTCATGCAAAAAAAATTCAATTTTTTCCAGAAGCTAAGGTCCAGTGAAAGGCCAGAATATACAAAAAACCAAAAAAACCATTTAAAAAGCCGATAACACGTGCGAAAAGAAAATTAAAGAAAACGTTCAGAACACGACACGTGGCAGGTGGCTAAGAGCGCGCCAAGTAACGTTGATCGTTATGGGACTCCCGAAGGATCGCTCGTCAACTAGTTGCTTGCGGAAACTATATGAAAAAGGGCGCGCGCCCTGCTTTTGGGCCTCAAGTATTTGCGAGATATAAACAAGTTTCAGGTACAAGTGGAATCAGACTGTGCTGCTGCCGTTGCGGCTGTGAATACAGAAGAAAGAAACAAATCTAAGTGGTGGGCTATTTATGAAGAAGCAAAGACTATAATGCGGGATTTCAGTTCGTGCATGGTGAGTAAAATTGGAAGAGAGTGCAATGTGTCCGCACATGAGATAGCAGCTCATGCTAGAGCTCATGGAGATTTTTATATACTGCAGCATGTGCCACTGAATGTCCTACATGTAATTGAGAATGACTATAGACTTGCTATGAATGAATGAATGAGAAAGCTCTCTTTCCCCTCAAGAAAAAAAGGGCGCGCGCCGTTTAGGACTCACCCAGTTTGGCTTGGGTTGGGTAGACAAATTGGAATGGGCTACATAGCTCAACTGGGGTTTGGTTGGGTACTCTGATGTTGGATGACAGGACCCAGCCCATAGACAAGGCCGGGCCAGCCATTCTTTTACGAGTGTTTTTCTTTTCTTTTTGAGTTGCATTCCTTTACAAGCTGATGTGCAGCTAGATACCCAAAAAATAAATGTGCAGCTAGATATTTCTTCATCAGCGAGTTGTTCTATAGGGAAGCTATAGACACTACGGAGTATTTTTTTTTTAGTGTATGGGGTTGCCTCTATCGAAGACGATGCTCGATTTCTTGAGGACTTCCCCAAATGGGTAGTTAAAATTTTCTTGAGCAACATAGTGTGTAACGATTGCAATTAAACGCCTACTGATTACTGAATGTTTGGAAAAGAAGAGGATGCATCAAGTCATCCAAGTAGCCCCAATCGAGAAAAGAGGAGGACGCAGCCACTCGGTGCACAATTCGGGTGGGGGTACCTGGTAGGCAGCGGTGGATGTCCCAAACAGGAAGCTCGTTGGAGGAGGGAACTGGCCGCGATGGATCGCCGAAGCACGTCGGAGGAGCAGGTGAGCAGACAAGAGCAGGAGAAGCCACAGGGCCGCCTCGCGCGCCATCCGTCCACGGCCGGCGCACCCCCTCCAATGTGAGCTGCCTCCGCTCTCAAACCCAGCAGGCAGCAAGTGTGTGGAGTCTATTTTGGGGCGAGGCGATTGTAACGTCTAGGGTGTAGACTCATGAGACGGAGGGACGATGCACATGTTACGCCCACAGACCGGCAAATGTCGCGCCTGTGCGCACAGTCAAACAATGACCCTTGTAGGCGGCATGGTAACGACAGGCAGGTAAGGTGTTGTGCTCGCCTAGACTGTGTGTTGATTAAGCTGCCGCAACGACGTGTTTTGTTTTCTTTATAAGGCATATATAAGGCGATTTTTTTATCAACTAATCGAGATCAAGACGTTTTACTCCGAAATGGTCTGGACGTGTACGGATATTTTTCAAGTGTTCACACGAAAATCATTAATTAAGGAGCATTTTTTTTGCAAAGGTCATTCCTATCCCTCAGATTGCGACATGCAGCGCATTGCGACATGTGCGTTTTTTTTTTCGTTTCCAAGAGGCACGATCGTGCCTCCCGCGAAAGCAAATCCGTGTCTTCACGAGAAGTAAACCGTGCCTTTCGCAGAAGGAAAAAGAAAAGAAAACACGTTTTTCGGAAGTAAATCCGTGTCTCTCGCGAAAGAAGAAAAAAACGCGTTTTCCTCATTTTTGAGAGGTACGGTCGTGCCTCTCGCAGAAATCAATCTGTGGCTCTCACGGAAGGAAACAACAGAAAACGTATTTTTTTCATTTCCGAGCGGCACGGCCATGCCTCTCGCGGAAGAAAATTCGTACCTCTCGTGGAAGCAAATTCGCGTCTCTCACGGAAGCAAAAGAACGTGGTTTTTTTTGCGCAATTTTTTTTGTCCAAAAGCGAGGGAGGCGGCGAGGGTGGGGAAGCACAAGCACAAGCAAGACCACGTCGTCCGGCGATTGCAAGGCTTCATCATCATCTCCGATTTCTCCTTCTCCGACGGGTCGGACGGCTCCGACATGGACCCACCTCCTGCTGCGGACTCCTACGACTACGCCGGCGACCGGAAGGGCAAATGCCGGCAAGGAAGTGGTGAAGATCCGTCTTTATTTCAAGTTTTAAGTTGTAGTTTGAACTTGTCCGCTATATTATGTATTATGTGAACTTTGCCTATCTTTCATGATCCGACTGTGATCTTTTGATGAACTGATTGTGCATTTGTATGTCCGCTCATGATCTACGTAGTTCTTATCAACGTTGTATGGTTTAGTATGAATATAAGGGACGGAATATGAGATACGTGGGTGTGGAGACGCAGATATAGGGAATGCCCGGCCAGTGTCCGCAGACGCGCCGGCGTTTGAGGGGCCGGGTTTGCTGAGTCCGGCTGTAGATGCTCTTACCCCAAAGTGATGACAATCTTCAGAGTTTGTAGTATACACCTTTAGAGCATATCCAACAGACATGCGGTAGCGCGGCACGCTAAAAAAGTTTTGTAGCACCGAAATAGTGTTTTGCGCGCGGGAGGTTTACCAGACGCACAAAAACATGGCGTCTAATGCGGCGGCCCCACATGCATCTGCTCGCGCGAACAATCCAACACCCCAAATTTGCAGCACCGGAGACCACGCTCACACCCATGCGCTAAAGTTTTTTTTTAGCGCGCTCTACTTTACAGCGCCTGCCGGAGCGCTTTTTTTTTTTGCCTCTGGCGCACAATAACAATGGGGTTTAGCGCGTGTGGTAGTTTTGGGCGCCTGTTGATATACCAGGCAAAGACACTATTAGGGAAGTGTTGGAACGATGTGTAGCAAACTAGGAGTATCTGTTTTTTTTCCTATAAAAAACAGTATCTATATTCACTGGATCCGACAGTTTCATTTCAGGGGTAATCGGATCTGACAATATAATAGTTGCAAGCATCACGAATCTGCTCTTAGCGTCTGTGCTTGGTCGACCGGTCTAGAGCCCGTGAGGAAGTCTCGGTACCACTTCCCTGACATCTTTGGAGTCCTCTCTTGCATTTCAAAATCCACGTGATAGATCCCGAACCTCACGGTGAAACCGAAACCCCACTCGAAGTTGTCCATGAGGCTCCACACGAAGTAGCCACACACATTTGCACCTCTCCTGTAATAAGCATGCCAGATGTTCCGGTGTATGTTGTGTCAGAAAAAAAAGGTAACACATTCAGAATGCAGAGTTGCACGCGCTGATTCACATTTCTTCAATCTCCTTTTTTACTACATATGCTACTGAATGATTTACTATTTTTAGTAAGGTTTATGGTCTATTAAAGGTGCCACCGGTAGATAATGGAGTAAATTGCAAAAAACCACCATATTTGGGGACGCGAAATAAAAAAACCACCACCTTTCATTTTTTTTTTGCAAAAAACCGCCACTTTTGTGCTAACAGTTTGCAAAAAACGCTGATTACTCGATCAGTCCCGTTTGAGGGCAGACCTGACGTCCAGGGCCCGCTGTCAGGTGCCACGTGGCCTGTGCGCACACGGCGCCCGTCAAGCGCCGTTAGACGGCGCAAGACAAACTGGTCGAACCCAACCGGGTCGGCCATTCCCCACTCCTCGCCTGTCGGACCCCGCCGCTCCCGCCCCGCCATCGCACCTTGCCCCCGCCGCCGCCGCCGACGGCGACCACAGCAGCCATGGTTTCCTGGAACGACGGCGAGACTAGTGACTCGTCTATTTCTCTCCCCTCGTACGAATCGGAGCCCTACGTGAGTTTTCCTCTCTGTCAGTTAGGGTTAGGGTTCTTCCCGAATTCAAGTTTGATTTCACCGATTTGATTTTGTATTTGACTGTCACGTTCTTCTCTGGTTCTAATAATGTAGATACCACGGACCACTGTGGATCCCGAATGGTGTGGCATTGTTTCTGGAGGCCCGATCTGCAGTCATAAGACGCCGGTGGAGAGGGGAGTTGCATTTCAAAGCATCCACACCGGCCGTAGGTTTTTGGGTTGTTCGGAGCAGGTTAGTAATTGTTAACTGTTAGTGATTATGTATACAGCTCTGTTTTTCCTTCTACTCCTTACTGTTAGCAGTAGATGTTAACTGAAGAATTAGGATTGTTAACTGAAGCAATAGATGTTACAAGTGGTTTATTTAAATAAATTATGAATGGTCAAATCCTGAGTAATTATGTTTAATTGGCATGGTTTCTAGCTGCTTGTAGCAAGTAGTACACGCATAATTATGTTTGTTAACTATATGAACTGCTTAAATCCCGAATAAATGATTAGAATTTTTGTTATAATATTTATTTGGTTAATCAGGGAGGTTACAGCTGTGGTCTTGTTGAGTGGGTTGACCCAGAATGGCCAGAGCCACTTAAGAATGCTCTGCGCAAGCTTTGGGATATGTATGAGCAGAGCCAAGAGCAGATCAAGGTTAAAGAAGATGTGATTGCCCTGCTAGAAGAAGAGAAGCGTCTGTTGCAGGAAAAACAGAAGAGTGTTCAGGAAAGTGGCGCTGACCAGGTTGCACCTGATGCTAATGAAATCAAGACTGATCTTGAGAAGGAGAATATGTCACTGAAGGGAGATGTAGAGCTGCTGAAGAAGATCCAGGCCACTCAGGCTGAACTCATTAGCAAATGGAGGAAAGATGCACATGTTGATGAAGTCAATCAGCAGAAGAAAAGGCTTGAGTTTGCCATATCTGACCTTTTAAAGGATGGAGAGGCCAACAAGTCTAAGCTGAAGAGAATCAAGGCTATATGTGATGAGTGATTGCAATAATTATGTATGGTGCTTATTTATAATAGTAGGATGGCACTGCTGTAATAGAAGGAGGGGTTGGAAAATTATGTATGGTGCTTATTTATGGTACTTGTTGTAATCCAAGATTTGGTATTTGATGGCACTGGTTCCATTTTAATCTGCCATGTGATGCTACTTGTTGTAATCCAAGATTTGGTATTTGATGGCACTGGTTAAATTTTAATCTGCCATGTGATGCTACTTGTTGTAATTCAAGTTTTGGTATTTGATGGCACTTGATAAAGTTAATATGAATTATGATGGTACTTGTTAAAGTTTAATATGAATTTTGATGGCACCGTCGAGGATGCCACCAACTCATGTAGGGTTAACCCTACCCCTCGACAACCGTCGAGGATGGCCTTAACTCATGTAGGGTTAACCCTACCCCTCGACAACCGCCGAGGATGGCCTCAACTCATGTAGGGTTAACCCTACCCCTCGACAACCGTCGAGGATGGCCTCAACTCATGTAGGGTTAACCCTACCCCTCGACAACCGCCGAGGATGGCCTCAACTCATGTAGGGTTAACCCTACCCCTCGACAACCGTCGAGGATGGCATTAACTCATGTAGGGTTAACCCTACCCCTCGACAACCGTCGAGGATGTCATCAACTCATGTAGGGTTAACCCTACCCCTCGACAATCGTCGAGGATGGTATCACCTCATGTAGGGTTAACCCTACCCCTCGACAACCGTCGAGGATGGCATCAACTCATGTAGGGTTAACCCTACCCGTCGACAACCGTCGAGGATGGCATCAACTCATGTAGGGTTAACCCTACCCCTCGACAACCGTCGAGGATGGCATCAACTCATGCTAAAATCCAGCAACACCATGATCATTTCAGCATGGTCATTTCAGCAAGATAAAGTATCATATGGATCATAATAACAGTGCATAACATCATATGGATCATAATAACAGTGCATAAAGTATCATAACAACAAGATCGTTACATGAGTTTCTTGCTCCATAACATCAGACCAACATAAGTTGTTCCAAAATAACAAGTTTAGGCAGACCAACATCAGACCAACATGAATAATGATCAACAAGGAAGCATTAGTTCCCTGAAGCATAAAAGTAATCTCTGAGCCTGGATGGTTTTTTCCTCTGTCTTGGTGGCAAGAAGGGTGCTGCTGGGGTAGCTGCTGCTGTTGAAGCTCTCCTTGTTGCTGCACGAGATGTGCTTGCACTTGCTGCTGGAGGTCTTGAGCTGCTTGCCCTACTTGCTAGAGGTCTTGAGCTGCTTGCCCTGCTTGCTGGAGCTGCTGAGGTAGCTGCCCTTGATGGTGCTCTCCCAGCTGGTGATCCAGCAGATGGAGCTGCAGTAGAAGATGGTGCAGCCCTTGGTGCAGAAGATGGTGCACCCCTTGGTGCAGAAGATGGTGCACCCCTGTTTTCCTGCAACAAGAATAAAATGAAAGATCAGAGCATTAATGGTACAATTTGGAAATCTATCTAGGGTCACATGTAATGCAAGGTACCTTGTGTTTGTTCTTCCTAGCAGCAAGTGCTGGCTTCAAAGCATCCCCACAATTTGTGTATCTGTGGCCTTGCTTGCTGCAGTTACTGCATGTAATTGTCCCCATCCTTGATGTTTCCTTAGGTTTAGGCACTTCAAACCTGCCCTTCCTCCTCTTTGTTTGTTTCCTACCCTTCTTCTTATGGAAAACAGGGGGTGTCAAAGTCTCTTGTAGCAGTTTTTGTCCATAGATCAGGTCTAGGAACAGGGTATATCATTGGCTTGTAGGCTTCCAAATACATTTCCTTCTTAAAGAACTGATGCACAAAATCTTCTGGATGCTGTTTGGATTTATAAATTGCAGAGACAACATGATTGCAAGGTATGGCTGTCATGTCAAATTTTCCACAGCCACAAGTCCAATCCTTTAAATTGACTGCATATGATTTCTCCCCACTATTGACTTGATACAAATCTGGGCCTGCCATCAAAGCTTTGCAGTTCCTAGCCCATTCCTTGGACTCTGCCAGTTTTTCTGAATATGTAGGGGTAATTGTCCATCTAGCAATCTCTCTCCCAATTCTCTTTTCATTAAACTTGACCATCAACTTAGACCTTACTCCTTCAAGCATTGTTTTAATGGGTTTTCCTCTAATATCTAAAATCGTCCTGTTGAATACCTCACTAATATTATTAACTACTAGGTCAGTTTTACAATTCTTGTCCATAGCATGCCTAGCCCATGTTTCAACAGAAATTCCCTTTAACCAAGCCCAAGCATCCTCACTTTCTTTCCTCATTTCTTCCATTGCAACATTAAAACCATCCTTAGTGTATGAATATGCAGCTGCATCCATATATTTCTTAAGTTCATCTCCTCTAAACCCAACATTTTGGAAATTTGCATAAATGTGCCTTAGACAATATCTTTGTGGGCAGTTGGGAAAAATGTGTGTTATGGCATTAAGAAGGCCCTGGTGAAACAATTAATACCTAAGTTAAGATGCTAACTAGGTGGTCAAACTAAGGTTGCAAAGAATAGCAATCTAAGGTTAAGTAAATTTGCAAATGGAGCAACTCACCTTCTGCCTGTCTGAGATTATTGTGTAGTACCCAAACTGTCCACATTCTCCACCAATAGCAATCTTTAGTTGAGTTAAAAACCATGACCAACTTGCGGTGTCTTCCTTTTCAACCACTCCAAAGGCAATGGAAAGATGTTATTGTTTCCATCTCTGCCTGTAGCAGCCAATATTTGTTGTCCTGTATTCAGCTTCACAAAACATCCATCCAGACCTGAAATCAACATGATTTAATAGAATGCAGCAGAACAAATTAAAAATGCAATGAAAGAGAATAAATGAAGTGGAATAATTCTGACAAGAACATACCAATGAAAGGTCTACACCCTTTCAAAAATCCTTCTATTTGTGCTCCAAGACACATGAAAAGTCTATGAAATCTTGAATTGGGACTAGGGTGCTCTCTCACAACTCTTGTGGTGACAATGCATCTGCTCCCAGGGTTGGTGTCCAACACAGTTTGTAGATAGTCTCTGATCCTTGTGTATTGTGCTTCTTGATCACCTTGGACAACTAAAAGAGCTTTCTGCCTTGCCCTATAGGCCTTGTTCTTTCCAACCTCCACACCAAATTTCTCCTTTGTCTTCTCTATGACAGTTTCAACTCTTGCTCTAGGATCTGTCCTCATGCTATCCTCAATTGCTTTTGCTACAAACCTTGTTGGTACCTTGCAGTTCTCACCAGATGGAGCACAGGTGTGCTCCAGTTGCAATTTCCTAATACAGAAAGTTTTTTCATTACCAATTACAGAAGCAACCATGTGAAAGGGGTGTCCTTTCTCAACACAGTCAACTATAATCCTGTCTTTGTTGTTTCTGTGGTAATGAAAATTCCTCCTTTGAGTCACATGCAAGTTAACCAAAGCTCTTCTGAACTGGTACACATCCAGAAAACACAAATGCAAGCAAATTTGCTCTTGTGGGGTTAACCTGCTCTCATCATACCATTGCCTGACCTTCCTCTTCTTTGCCCTGGATTTTCTACCACTTGAGGGCAAATAAACCTCCACTTCTACATCAGAATCATCTGGATGTGGCTGATCTATATCTTCATCACTTGAGGGGATATAGTCAGCCTCAAGTGCAGATTGAGAGCTGCAATGAGATCTACTTGTTGGGCCCCTTCTCACTGGCAATTTAAGCAAAGGTTCTGGTGGAACAAATTCCTCTTCCTCCTCAGACTCACAGAACAAGTCCTCTGGCTCTGAATCCCCTTCAAATTCTCTTTTCCTCTTAAAATCTTTTATTTTCTGGTGGAGATCAGCATCATCATCCACTTCCTCTCCAACTACATCCTTCCCCATGCCATAATCAGATTCTGAACTCTCATCATCATCTTCAGAGCTGTCAGCATTTGTAACTTCTTTCTCCACAAACATTTCCTCCTCCTCCATTTGAACTTCTTGCACTACTGGCATGTCATCAGCAAACTCATTGAGAAATGCATCTAGCTCATTGACACCTGCAATGTTCTTCCCCTTTCTCACATTGCAGCTCTCCTGAGTGAAAAGGTAATCTCCAATAGAATCTTGTGTATAAACACTTATAGTAGGAACAGAGCACTCTGCTCTTTCACTGGACTGACTTGGATAGAGCACACCTGCATCATCTATATCATATACTTTAGGTGAACCAATCTCTGAAATAGGTATCTGCTTCTCAACCTCATCTCCATTGTTGATGTGCAACTGTGGCCTAAGTGATGTTCTTCCTTTCATAACTGTGATAGTGATACACCTTTTCTCCTCATATAATTCTAGCATTTCTTCTACATCTTCAGTACATTTAATCAGCTGCATTCCTTCAATTCCTAAACCATCTTCCTTCACATAGTACATGGAGTCCTTCTCATCATACCCCTCTGTCCCAATAAGAGCTAAAAGATTGATGTAGGTAATATCTGACTGACATAAGGTCCTTTCCAAATTGTCACAGCCATGGAAATGAAACCGAACATCCCATATGTCATCATCCAGACTGCAAACACAAAACAGAGCACATGCTATTACGTTAACAATATATTCAGCTCATTGTAATTCAGTTAACAATACATTACATCAACACCAAATAAGTTAACTGACAATTCAATCTACTCTAAATTCAGTATATACCATATTCACATAAATGCAGTTAACAGTACACTGAAGCAATACCAAATCAGTTAACTTATATTTCTCTCCAATTTAAGTTTTCAATATTGCAGAATCAATAAATTGATTAAATTCAGTTTAGTTAACCGAAATCTAGTGAACCAAATTACAGTAATTATCCTCAACAAAAAATTTGGACAGCTTGTTCACATCTGAAACCAATATTTCTAAACCCTAGTTCCTAAACTGTAGAAATAGCGACATAGATTTATAAACCATAGTTCCTAAACAGCAGTGACAACACAAATTTATAAACCATAGTTCCTAAGCAGCAGTGGAAACCCTAATTTCTAACACATAATGCAAATAAATGTACAGACAGCGACACAGAATTCACTCTATGCCGCCGAGACCAGAAGTGAACTTGTGGCTGTTATGCAGATTCGCCTTCCAGACCTGCGCCAACCTTGCCGCCGCTGACATCTCGATGTCGTAGCTGCCGGGTTCCTGGGGGCGCTCATCTCCAGCGTCGCACGCGGCCGCACCAAGGACGAGCGTGCGTGCACACTGAACGTGGGAGAAAGATTTGTCCCCGCCGTCGAGGGAAGAGGAGTTCCCGCGGTCGTCCCTGCCATCTCCAGCAGAGCTGCCGCCGCCGCCGTCGGCGGCCATGGGTGAACACGACGGGGGTGAGCGCGAAGGAGGCGGCGCGGTGGGATTTGGGGGGAGTGGGGGGAATGGTCGACCGGGTTCGACCCGGTAGGGTTTTCTCTTGCGCCGTCTAACGGCGCTTGACGGGCGCCGTGTGCGCACAGGCCACGTGGCACCTGACAGCGGGCCCTGGACGTCAGGTTTGCCCTCAAACAGGACTGATAGAGTAATCAACGTTTTTTGCAAACTGTTAGCACAAAAGTGGCGGTTTTTTGCAAAAAAAAAAAAAACGAAAGGTGGTGGTTTTTTGATTTCGCGTCCCCAAATATGGTGGTTTTTTTGCAATTTACTCGTAGGTAATGTTAATGTGCATGATGATCGCAAATGGTTGCACATCTCACCTGACTGCTGAAGAGATACATGTGAGATAACCCTGCAGGTAGTTCACCCTTCCAACGTCATTGATCAAATCCTCCGTACTGTTATCGCTGGACTGCGAGTAGCCTGGAATAAATAAGGCGTAAGGGAACACATGGTCTTTGCAAACATGCAGAAGCAAATTAGGAGGCGCCGGAAACTTTTCAATCTTCAGGCATTCTTCTGAACGCATTGTGAATTCCTAATTGCCCTCCCTTGCCACTCACCATTTTCAGTAACGTACACAGGCGTGTTCTCGTATCTCTGACTGACATACTTAACGATCAGCTCCATACCTTCCGGAACATCGTAGTAACCATGGAATGCAGTCTGCAAGGTTGATCACCATATAAACAAACATGTCAAAGAGAGAAGAGAATGTATAGGATGGTAACGGATGGAGGCAGTTCTTACTGGTCTTCCAATTGCCACACCGTCCCTTTCACCTACAGCTTGGACCAGCGCATTTCCCTCGTAACTCTTAAGGTCGCATGGAGAAGAGACGCAATCCTTGGCATAGATTGCCGTGTAATGGTTTACCCCAATAAAATCCGCCTTGTTCTGCAGTAACCTCTTCTCCTCGGAGGTGAACTTTGGTAAGTTTGATGACAGCATCTCACGCATTTCTCTTGGATAGTCACCAAAGAATAACGGATCCAAAAACCTGTAGAAGAAAAAGGAACATTAAAAATGTCATAGTACTAACAAATTTTTTTTGGGTGTAAAGCTATTGTGAACATTAAAAATGCCATGCTTCATGTTCTTTTTTTGCGGGAAATGCTTCATGTTGCACAGAAGGTGAAAGAAGGAAGGACCTACCAGTCCACCTCAAAGGACAACGCCTGTCTTGCAGCCAGGATATCCTCTGTGGAGTTGGTCAGCGGCTCATACCATTTCATGGCGATGACGATCCCGATCGAACCGCCTTGGGTTGCCTAGCATGTATCAGAAGTTCAGAACAGCTAAGACAAAGGCCCACTGAAATGGCCATCCAGTGCCAATAAAGCCCTCGGTGACAGAGCAAGTATGTCTGTTGGGTTCACCTGATAATTCCTCTTGTAGTTGTCGACGGCGGCGGCATGTGACATGATCATGTTATGGGCAGCGACGTAGGGCTCCCGGTGAGAGTTGCCGCTATTACAGTTCCCGAACGGCCGGGAGCAGTGCTTGGGCGGGTAGTGGCCCAACATGTAGGCGAACTTGGTTAAGAGGTTGGGCTCGTTGAGCGTGGTCCAGAACTTGACCCGGTCGCCGAACGCTTTGAATCACACGTCCGCGTAGTAGTCGAACTCCTCCCTGTGAAGGAACAAAATTAGTTTCGAGAGAGCTTAGTTAATTACTAGACCGCCAAGACCGTGACCGTGGCTAAGTCAAGCCACGGGGAGCAGAGCATGGTGCTTATGGACAAGGAAGAGGAGGGGTTTGTCTTTGAAGATCCAAGTCCGCAAGTCCGTAAGGATTACCGATGGTCTGCTGCAGGTAAAGTCTATTCTCCCCATCCGGTGAAGATGTCAGTAGTTGAGAAGACATTGCCCAGAGCTTGGGGTCTGCATAAAGAAGCTAAATTTGCGGAGATCGGCCCGAATATCTTTGAAGTGCACTTTGGATCAGAGGGTGACTACAGGCATGTCATTTACAATGGCCCATGGCAGTTTGATTTTAGTGTCCTGGTGATGAAGAAGTATGAAGGAAATAAAAGACCGTCTGAGATGATCTTTGATAAAATTGATGTGTGGGTAAGGATCTTGGATCTGCCACCGGACAAGAGGACGGAAGTGTTTGGTAAGGCCTTGGGAGATTGGTTGGGAGAGACAGTCAGAGTTGATGTGGATAAAGATGGCATTGCTAGAGGTCAGTACTTTCGTGTACGGACTAAGATCTCTGTGTTTGAACCGTTGGTTAGGGGCATCTATCTGAAGAAGAAGAAGGATGATAAGGAGAAGACATGGTTTGACTTTTACTATGAGAAAATCCCGCATTTTTGT